GTGATTTGGGGGGGGATGGGTGATAGGAGAGATTCTCCCAGAGATTAGAGACTAGAATCTGGGGCAACCAATTTGGTGACTAAAGAACTCATTTCCCTTCCCAGACAGGGAAGCTTGCTCTTCCTGTCCAGCAAAATATCATATACATTATAGATTGATGTTTCCTTACTTCCCTTTTTTCATGCAGGAGTATTTATTGCTGGTGTTCATTTCTTTTTACTTTGCCCTGTTTTTTAGATGTCTTGGAGTAGGGGGTTTAAACTTACAGTTGAGCCGTAGGATGGTTGACCAGAAGGAGCTGCCTCAAACTTGACTGGGAAGCATATAATCAGCAGAGATATTGGAGCGGGAAGCAGTAAACAAGTTAGAGCGAGGGTGAATGTACTGTTAGTCACATTTGGAAACCTTGCCCAATGTTAGGCAGAGCCATTGTTGAAAGTGTAGATGCAGGAAAAGGGTAGATGTAGATACTAAACAACCAGGTTGAACTTTTTTATAGGATGGTTTTATATAATGCACGAATGTAACTGAGTGACTCCAACTGCATATGCTTTGAAGGTCAATCATAGTGCAGATAATCTCACCCAGCATTTTACATCATTTTCAAAAGAAGAGAAAGGCTTATCTCACCAAAAATAATCTTTTATTTGCCACCATTGGAAGTGACTGTTACCAGCTTTTTACTCTCATATTGGTAATTAAAGGAAGCCATTATCATTCTTTTTCAATTCGAAGTATAGTGGAGGAGAAGCTCTTCTCTACAAAACAAGTCAGCCAAGATAGCAGAAAGAAGAATCAAAAATTTTAAAAGACCAGTTTTCTACCCCTGATGAAATGATTGATTTAGGCAAGGATCATCAGTGAAGACTGAAATTTTTGGAGGAAGCATTGGTGGAGAGCTTCATCTTTGCATCTTATAAATGATGACTCTGTACCTTACTAGCTAGTCAAAAAGGAAAACAAGTCTTTTCAATAAATAAATTTGCTATTATTTTCTTTTATTACCTTAACTCATAGAAATATCTTATTTATTATTTTAGAGGCTTATTGAATTGTCCTGGTTTTTTGTATGCCTAGTAATTTTTAACTGGATGCCAGACATTATGAGTTTTATGCTGTGTGCTAGATTTCTTTTTTTTTTAAGATTTTATTTATTCATTCATGAGAGACACACACACACACACAGAGAGAGAGAGAGAGAGAGGCAGGCTCCCTGCAGGGAGCCCCATGTGGGACTCAATCCCAAGACTCCAGGATCACACCTTGGGCTGCAGGCGGCGCTAAATCACTGGGCCACCTGGGTGCCCCTGTGTGCTAGATTTCTAAAAATGTCTTTAGATATTTTGAATTCTACTCTAAGATGCAGTTAATTTATTTATAAAGAATTTTTATCCTTCCTGGATGTGCTTGTAAGGTCAATAAGGAAGAACCAGAACAAGTTTTGATCTAGGACTAATTTAGTCCCACTGCCAAGGCAGTATCTTTCAGAGTTTCCTACCCAATTTCCCATGTATTTTGAGATTTCTTCACTCTAGCTGTTGGGAACAAGAACTACTTCTAGTCCCTGTGTGAATACTGTGAATTCTTCAGCCCGATTATTTCCATTGGTTCTTTTCTTGTCCTTAGAGAGTTTTCTCACAGACGTGCTAATCAGTTTGCAGATGAAGATTTGAAGAGAAGCCTCTGCAGACCTGTGGGACTCTCTTTGCAAAGCTCTCCTCTGTATTCTGCTCTGTGAATTGTGGTCACACAGGCCTTCTTGAATTCCCAACCCTTGTCTCTTTAACTCAGGAAGCCTGCCACGCTCTATTTGGGTTCCCCTTCCTGCTCCTCAGCCTGAGGCAATAATTACCTTGTTTCCCTTCTCTCAGGGATTACTGGGCTGAGCTGCCTGATGTCCAGTGTCTAAAAACCATTGTCTTACATATTTTGCCCAGTTTTTAAGTTATGTAAGGCAGAAGAGCAAATTCAGTGCCTATTCATCATATCCTGAAACAGAATTACAGTCCACTATAGTTGTACTTTTATTATCTGTTCAAATAATTTTTAGAAGAATGTACTTTTAAATTTTCAAGTGCTAAAAAATAAAAAATAAAAAAAATAAATTTTCAAGTGTTGATACTGTTGGTTCAAAGCCTATTTGCTTATCTGTTAAAAATTTTTAAAATAACGTTTAGTTTTATCATCTTGTTTTCAGAGAATGAAGCTTGTACCATTTCCCCTTTGGAAACATTTATTGGTGTGTGTGTGTGTGTGTGTGTGTGTGTGTGTGTATTAATATATGGTCACTTTTTGTGATTTCTTTGTGTGCATTTTTAAAAATGGTGTTTGGTAGGAATCAAATATAAACTCAGAATCCTATGTAGTCAGTCTTGGTGTGTATTTTGAATACTTTGTTTTTATTTTGTGCCTTAGAATCATAGATTGATATAATGTCTCCCAGTATTAAAGTGATTTTTAAATAATTAACTTCATAGTCATTCTAAGCACTATCCTTACTAATTCTGAATTTCTTAGGTATACTAGAACTCTTTGAGTATAATCTTGGACTCAGGAAGATACAAGGCACTTACTATCCCCTGGTGATTTTAGGATAATATCCATTTAACATTTTTTAAAAAGATTTTATTTAAAAAAAAAAGATTTTATTTATTTATTCATGAGAAACACACAGAGAGAGGCAGAGACATAGGCAGAGAGAGAAACAGGCTCCATGCAGGAAGCCTGATGTGGGACTCAATCCCGGGACTCCAGGATCATACCCTGAGCAGGCAGATGCTCAACTGCTGAGCCACCCAGGCATCCCTAACATTTTATTTAAAGTAGGAAATAAAACTCTTAAGTTTTACAAAACTACAAATTAAAGGAATTATTGGCAGACTAATTTCTAGTCTTCTTTGGTGCCTATTTCTTAAGTGTTAAGAACCAAATTGCCTTATAATATATTTAAATTTTAAAAGTCTACTGTAGGGGCACCTGAGTGGCTTAGTAGGCTCAGGTCATGATTTCCTGTCCAGAGATCTAACCCAGCATCCAGCCCAGCATCCAGCTCCAGGCTCTGGACTCTGGTCACCAGTGATGATGCAGTGTCTGCTTGAGATTCCACTTGAGATTCCCTTTGCCCCTCTCCCCCCACTTGTGATATCTCTCTCAGTAAATAAATAAAATATTTTAAAATAAATAAAAGTCACTTTAAATGAACCACCTTAAGAAATATCCCTGGGTATTTATTTATTTATCCCTTAAGGGTATCCCTGGGTGGCTCAGTGATTGAGTGCCTGCCTTTTACCCAGGGTATGATCCTGGAGTCCCAGGATTGAGTCCTGCGTGGGGCTCCTGGCATGGAGCCTGCTTCTCTCTCTGCCTCTCTCTCTCTCTCTCTCTCTCTCTCTGTCTCTGTCTCTCATGAATAAATAAATAAATAAAATCTTTAAAAAAAAGAAATATGTATCTTTAAATAAATATATGTGTATATTAGGGAATATATATTAAACACATGATATATAATTTAAGAAATAAAGCCAAGCTTTATTTGCTTGTTTTTCTTAAGGGTAATAACCAGCTATTTATAGATTTTTGCCTTGCACTTTATTTAAGCTCATATTCTTAGAGATACTCTAGTTCTGCAGAGAATAAAGATTAAAACATAACAGGTCTACTAACTACTGTCAATTATCTAATTGAGAGATCTGTCATCAGAAGAAGAGCCCAAGAATTTTGATTGGAAACATATAATGGGAGACTGAGAACCTTCAAGTCTTGGGGCTGCAGGACTAGAACATAAAACTGTATAGCAGGTTCTGACTAGCATTCTCACAGGGTCAGCATGGTATTCTAAGCTGAGTACATTGCCTCCTAATTCCAGAGAATCCTTCAAATACCATCGAAGCCTGTCACCAACCCTCCCACTCAGCTTTCTAATTGTTCATTCTCAAATTTTGCAAAGAGATCTGTAATTTTAAGATATTTTACTTTATAATTGTACATGTGTAATAATGAAAAAAAGATTGTAATACTCTTTAGCCTTTTGAATTCTCATTGAAGAGATACTATGCATCCTGACCAATGTTTGTGTGTGTGTGTGTGTGTGTGTGTGTGTGTGTGTGTGTGGTGTGTGTAGAAGCAGGCTCCATGCCAGGAGCCCCACTTGGGACTCAATCCTGGGACTCCAAGATTGCGCCCTGGGCCAAAGGCAGGCGCCAAATGGCTGAGCCACCCAGGGATCCCCGGGAGGGGGACATCTAAACAAAGTAATTATATTTGGTTTGCACATAAATAGTATAAGCTGTTCTACTTAATTTTTTTGGTGTCAAAATTATTCTGTGTCCTTTGTAATTTTCTCTTTTATAAGTGCAAATGTTGGATCTCGGTTTCAAAGTATGCCCCTATTTTATTTTATTTTTAGTTTTTTTTATTGGAGTTCAATTTGCCAACATATAGCATGACACCCAGTGCTCATCCCGCCAAGTGCCCCCCCCCAGTGACCGTCACCCAGTCGCCCCAACCACCTGCCCTTCTCCCCTTCCACCACCCCTTGTTCATTTCCCAGAGTTAGGAGTCTCTCATGTTCTGTCTCCCTCACTGATATTTTCGCTCATTTTCCTATTTTAAAATACGTTAAACTTTTACACACTTAAATGATAAATACTCTAATTCTAAAATCGTCCTTGCTTTTTAAAATCTGAGATTAAATTCATGATACTTGAGTATCTCCTTGCTACACTTTTATTATCAGGATTGGGAATTCAGCATTTTCTTCTGGGAAAACTTAACAGATCAGCAAAAGACTCCGTTATTATCTCTATCAACACACCTTTGTCGGAAACTTGCCTTCACGTTTTTCAGCAGCATTGTCAGGCCATTTTAATCTGTGGACAAAACGCCACACATGAGCAACTATGGGATTTAGAGAAAAACACTTTGCTTATCCCTAGACTCTTTGGGGGGGGGGGAGCAGGTTTTAAATTTGCCTGCGCTTCACCGCTCCACACACATTCTTGCACACATTGTGGTGCCGCACAGCTGGGGGGAGGAAGGGCAGGGGGAGGCCGAGGCAGGCTGGTCAGACCAGAAACGGAGCCGCCCGTGACAGATGAAGAGAGGAGCGGGGCCTGGAATCCGAGAGCCCCAGAGCCACAGGGAGTGGAAATTTACAGGCGCCCTGTGCAGCGAGCGCTCCAGTGATCACTTTCTGCTAACGTTTTCCGGTGGTGACTGTTACTCTTCAAAGACAGACAGAGAGAGAAAGTCAAGACGGGACCGTGGAAACTCCTCTCCCTGCGCCCCTTTTGGTCCGAGGAGCCCCCCTTATTAAATGGAAGAGAAAGCGGCCCCGTGCAAAGTGCTGTGAGCCCGGGAAGAGCTGTCTTCAGCACCTCACCATGTGTCCTCTTGCAGCTTAGCTGAGCCTGGACATTGCTGTGACATTCGGTGAGTATCAGCCGGGGCATCTCCACCAGCCCCCAGGAATGGAATTGATAAGGTAAACTTCAGTGTCAGTTGAGGTCTTACAGCTTGTTGCTTTTGCATTCGTTTTAAACCCTGTTGTTACCTTGCTCCTTTGTGCACGAAGAACTGCTGTTACTAGGAGAGGTTTAAAAAAAAAAAAAAAACCAACAACAACCACAAAACAATACTTCTCTGTTGCCTAAGGCGCTTGAATCATTACCAACTATTCTGTGTCCATGGAATATCTTATTTTGGAAATGGGTTTTTATTTACAAAGAGTCTCTAAAAATAACAGTGGCAGTGTTAACCACTTTCCCCGTTTCCTTTTCCATTGCATGAAAATTCAAAAGTTATCTCTTTCTGCTCTATTGTCAGTATATTTCAAATCATCGTTATGATGTTTGGTACTTTCCATTATTATAAATTATACCATTTCTCACCTAATTCGAATGGAAGTGTTAATGATACCGTTAACTAAAAGGACATGTGATTTAAATGTTGAATGCTTCTGCTAGACCCGATGAGTGACACATGATTTTTTTTTCAAAGTTCTGTGATGAATATAAAAATTAGATCCATTTACATATCAAATTTACTATTTGATACAAAACGAATGTACATGGATTTCAAATTAAGGATTAAAACAGTTATTTTGTTCTTTCTTTTAAGGTTATTTATTTATTCATGAGAGGCAGAGAGAGAGAGAGAGAGGCAGAGACACAGGCAGAGGGAGAAGCAGGCTCCCTGCAGAGAGCCCAATGTGGGACTCGATCCCAGGACCCCAGGATCATGCCACGGGAGGAAGGCAGACACTCAATCACTGAGCCACCCAGGCATCCCAGTTATTTTGTTCTTAAAGCTGATACCAAGCTCTCATATAACATTGTTACTCTGCTAAAGAACTGTTACAGCCAGATGCATATACCTATACAAGCAATGCAGCAGAAAGAAGAAAAAAGAAAAATAATCTTGTAAAATATGTATCACATCCAAGAGAAACTTGATTTGCACAACCTTAACACAGGACACTGTATATTAATTTTTTATATGTCTTTTTAAAGTATCAGTGGAAGACACGTAATCATTCCTCTGTGGGAGGAAGGAAATGTATATTGTTAGCTGCTAACCTAAGTCATTGCATACAGATGCACCATTCTAAGCAAAGTTTCTAATTTACTCTCTGCCAGCCTCAGAAAATATGTCCATCATTAGTGATTCAGGTGCGTCCCTTAAGTTTCAGAACAGCTTAGCTGAAATGAAAACTTGAATAGTGCCAGTAAGCATATCGAAAGGGTTTATACCCTAGACATAATGTATAAAATGGCTGTATTTCCTCTATGTGTACAGAAGCCTGTAGAACAGGTTTGGCTTTGTGGCTTTTTTTTTTTTTTTTTTTTTTTTTTTTTTACTGCCTTCACCTATGTATAAGAAGAAACTCAGCTGGTGTTGGGAAACTTTTTCCAGACCAGTATCTAGCACTTAAAGTCAAAAGTAAGTAAAATAAAGATATTATTACAAACCAACTTTTCTTCTTTACAGAAATTCCCATACTCAGCCTTCTTAAACAATGGAAGATCTGCACACAGCTTCACAATTGTCAGAATAATTTTTTATTTTGAACTGTTAGGTCGTTGGTATTATCTTAGTGGTTTCATCATTTCGTAAGCCCATAGGAATGTCAATATGACAATAAAGAACAAATCATTCCCAGTTTGCAAATGTTCTGACTTCAGAAGTTTATTGTAAGTGGGTTGTTAGGAATTTGAGACCCATCTTCCCTGGAAAATAATTTAACAAATGATTATTTGACTTTTATTATAGCCTAAGCACGTATTTTAGTCACACTATAGAAAAACTATTTCCATCCTGAAAAACAGTAGAAAATCAATTCTAGTAATGAAACTAAATGTAAAAACAATTATGTTGAATAAGACATTATTTTTATTTATCCTACATATCAATGCTTGAAGAAAAGCAAATTTAGTGAGATGGATGGGTTTCTGGAAGGATGCTTATAAACAGCATTTCTAGGTACTTTTGAGAGCTCCCAAGGTTGATTGCACACCTTGTATGAGATCTAATCTCATGTTACAATTTGTGACTTTTATTTTCCTTGCTATTAGCATATTTCTAGCCATTGCTTTCATGCTTATCACCCATTTCTGAAGTGTAGCCCAGTGGCACATAGTAGGTACCTAATAAATAGTTACTAGATGAGAACTAAACTTTTTCTTCAGTTCACAAAAATGGAAACTGAGTAATTTTTCTAAGATGTCTAAAAAAGGAAAGGGATTTAGGGGCACGTGATTTTCATTATGAGAAAGATATGGCCTGACAAGCATTGACTGAGTTGTGAGACACAAATCAATACTAGTGCAGAATAGGCCTAACCAGTAAGAGCAAAAGGGAAGACTTTGGTGTGACTTGGTGGCAGCCCTGAATAAGTAGGGATGGTAATGAGGGAAGGGTTTACAAGCTTGGTATCTTGCGTACATGGGACATTCTGAAGTAAGGTGTCAACTTTATGTATTTGCATAAGCACACTTGGACCCATATGAAGAAATGAGGCCTATTTAGAAAGCTCAGAGTAGGTCTATCCAAATTAAGTTTAGTTGCACTGGTCCTACAAGTTCCTCTAAAGTACTCGAGTACAAAATTTAAAAGTTGGTAATGTAATAAAGGTATTATAATGAAATAAGCAATACAATGAATGCAGAGTACACTTAGATTATTTTTAATGGCAGAAAAACTTTTTCCTTTTGATCAAGAAATACTTTCTTTGTTCTACTTCAAAACTATAAACCTTGTCTTGATAACTAACAATATCTAACCAAAATTTGATGACTGTTATACATAATGTGTATGTGCTTACAGGAAAGACTAAAAAAAGAAAAAGTAAACTTCGTGCTTCCCTTGATAATTCTGTTGTGAAATATAACCACTTGTGAATTTAAATAAGATCTGATGCTTTAATTACAAGTACTAGTTTTTGAGAACACTGAACTAGTTTCAGACCTCTGCTGTAAATGAGATTGTGATATTCTAATATAGAATCATCACTCATTGACAGTCACTAATAGTAGATATAGAAAATTTGGGCAGCCCGGGTGGCATAGCGGTTTAGCGCTGCCTTCAGCCCGGGGCGTGATCCTGGAGTCCCAGGATCGAGTCCCACGTCAGGCTCCCTGCATGGGGCCTGTTTCTCCCTCTGCCTGTGTCTCTGCCTCTCTCTCTCTCTCTCTCTCTCTCTATGTCTTTCATGGATAAATAAATAAAATCTTAAAAACAAAGATATAGAAAATTTTAGCTCTGACAAATGACTGGGGCTGTCAACAGAATCACTGTGAAATTAATGAGTGAGGTTACTGGTGGTTTTTCCTGGAATAGTAGTCTAGTAGGTTATTATTTATAACAACGAATAAATTAGCAGTTGTACGTCTTCCTAGTAACTTCATGTACTAATTTTATTTTTAAATTATTTCACTGGTTACAATACATTAGAATTCAGAAGTGGTTCCCAATGGACATGGGTTTCTCTTCTTATTAAAGAGTTTTTAGTCTGATGTCTGACCAAGGCTTCCAGATAAATGAGGGTGCATTAAAACTTCTCACAAGTTTTCCATTTCTATATAAATCGTCCATTTTTAGTAAAGATCTTCAAACTGTGTTAATAAAACTTGTAAAAACAAAATCATTAATAGTCATTTTGAACTGAGAAAAAGAATGATCAGTGAAAGTCCTTATTTATACTTTATTGTCTACAGATTTTCACTCATTTCTGTAGGTTTTCATGTGAACTCTTTAATCATGGTGCCTTCTAATTACATTTAGCCTATGTATTTAAAAATAGAATCATTGAGATCCCTGGGCGCGATCCTGGAGACCCGGGATCGAATCCCACATCGGGCTCCCGGTCCATGGAGCCTGCTTCTCCCTCTGCCTGTGTCTCTGCCTCTCTCTCTCTCTGTGTGACTATCATAAATAAATAAAAATTCAAAAAAAAAATAAAAATAGAATCATTAAAGGACAGAAGACATTGATTGAATGATACTTTGACATATATGCTCTAATGGGTTTGGTGTCATAACATGTATAACTAGAATAATATGCATTGTCATTTATTATCTCTGTGAAGGCATTTCTAAATTATGACATTGTCAGTGGGGGAAGAAGGGACTACTTGGATACAGCAAATACAACAGAACCTGTAGGTATATTTTTTCAGTTTTAAAATATACCTTAAATCAAATGCACCCATTTAAAGAAAACAGTCTTAATGAATATTGACAAATGTATACACTCCTGTAACCTCCATTTCATTAATTTTTTAAAAATGGATCCTACAAGCCCAGTTACCTGCCACACATGCACTTTGATTATATCATTTCTATCTGTGAGTTCTGTTTGGAATGCAGATAAAGAATGGGGATTCCTGAACTTCGGTGATTTTTTTTTTTAATGTAGTGATAAGCTTATTTTAATTTTTTCAGTTTAAGAGAAGGTACTTATGCCTAAAGTTTAAATTAGCAAGCTCTAAGGAAGAATTTTGGAAATGTTCCTCTCTCACTCATTGTTGATTGTAGCATAAACTTATGTGAAAGGAAAGAAGGCTCATTTTGGATTTGGCTTTGTTACAGTGAGTTAGGAGTTTGGTTACTTTTTATAGTTTTACCTATGGAAATCTTGAGATTTTTCTTGGCCTCAGAGATAAATTTCTCAGTCTCTTAAACTTTTGTGGGAAACCTTTGAAATTAGAACTATTTTTGAACAATACAATTGGAGGTTAAACTTCAAGGACTGGAGATACTCATTAGCCACTTACAGATAGACGTTTATTTTCCTTTAAATATTTTAAGGAATAAAAACAAGGGAATTCAGTGTTCCAAATGACCTTTTCTCTTAGCTTCCCCATCTCTCTTCCCCCGTAAACACTCCTCTGCACTTATGTCACTGAACAGTCAGATGACTCACTCGAGTGATTG